AAAACGTCTTCTTATTTCTAGAAATTTCTTTTTCCTTTGAGAACTATCTGCTTCTGGTGAAATAGCTGATTTTCGTGAGCTACTTGATTTTTGGAAATCACTTACATCGATATCTGTGCTTTCACTTGAGGTTTCATGTGACCTTTTCCTTAGTCTACTTGCTTCTTGTGGAACATCCAATTGATGTTTTGTCTTACCAGGAGAAACAACTGGTTTTGGTTGGTTTTTTGAAGAAGAGGTAGAAGGTTTTTCCAAATCAATCTTTACACCTTCATCTTCATCTGTTGTAGAAGAAGAATCATAACGTCTTGTTATCCCCAGAAATTTTTTTTTCCTTTGTGAACCATCTGCTTTTGGTGGAATATCTGATTTGGGAGATCTAACTGCTTTTTGTAAATCACCTTTATCGATATCCGTGCTTTCACTTGAGGTTTCATGTGCCCTTTTCTTTGGTCCACTTGCTTCTTGTGGAACAACTAATTGATGTTTTGTCTTACCACGAGAACCAACTTGTTTTGATCGTTTTTTTGGAGAAGAGGAGAAAGGTTTTTCCAAATCAATCTTTACACCTACATCTTCATCCGTTGATGAAGAAGAATCATACCGTCTTGTTATCTCCAGAAATTCTTTTTTCCTTTGTGAACCATCTGATTCTGATGATATATCTGCTTCTGGTGACTTCCTTTCTTTTTGTAAATTATCGATATCCGTGCTTTCACGTGAGCTTCTGTATGATCTTATCGTTAACCTATCTCTCCCTTGTGAATTATCTGTTTCAGGAGTTGACAATTCACGAAGAGTAAGTGGTTGTAAATCTTCGTTTTCTTCATATAGAGTTACAATAGGTTCTGGAGAATCAATTTCTACTGAATGCAGAAATTTCCAAATATATGATGTTTTTTCCCTCCTTCTTTCTTCTGGTTGTGAACTATCTTCTTGTTGCAAACTACTTTCTTCTTGTAAAATAACTACTTGTAATACCTCATCATGAAAGGTTTCATCAGGTTGTGCTACTATTATTTCCGAAGCATCTCTAGACAAGGAAGGTTCTTCCGTTTCAACCAGTCGTGAATTCGTCTCTTCTGCAAAAATATGTGACACTGCAGCGTCCATCGTTTCTTCTTTTTGCGATTCAACTTCAACTTGATTAATCACTTGTGATAAAGTATGTGACTCTTCAGTCTCCCTTTTTTTTTCATTATCCATTTCTTCATGTTGCTTTTTACTCATAATTTCTGGCTGTTGTGAAACATCCGAATCATGTGTTGTTGCAGCAGGGAAACTAAAAGGTTGTGATTGTTGTTGTGGAACCACTTCAAACAAAGAAGATTCTTCCGATTCAACTTCTAATTGAGTAGTCACTTCTGATAAAGTATGTGACTCTTCAGTTTGTATTTTTTCTTCAGTATTCATCTCTTCATGTTTCTTTTTACTTATAATTTTTGGCTGTTGTGAATCATCCGAAACATGTGTCGTTGCAGCATCAAAACTAAATGGTTGTGACTGTTGTAGTGGAGCATCTGCAGCCAAAGAAGGTTCTTCCAATTCAACTTCTAATTGAGTAGTCACTTCTGATAAAGTATGTGACTCTTCAGTCTCCATTTCTGCTTCAATCTCCATTTCTTCATGTTTCTTTTCACTTATAATTTTTTGCTGTTGTAAGCGATCTGAATCTCGTTTTGTCTCAGTAGGAGAACTTACTGGTTGTATTTGTTGTTGTGGAACATCTGCAGCCAGAGAAGGTTCTACCAAATCAACTTCTAATTGAGTAATCACTTCTGATAAAGTATGTGACTCTTCAGGCTTCATTTCTGCTTCAGTCTCCATTTCTTCATGTTTCTTTTCACTTATAAGTTTTTGCTGTTGTAAGCGATCTGAATCTCGTTTTGTCTCAGTAGGAGAACTTACTGGTTGTAATTGTTGTTGTGGAACATCTGCAGTTAGAGAAAATTCTCCCAATTCAATTTCTAATTGAGTAATCATTTTTGAAAAAGTAGGTGACGCTTTAGCTTTTTTTTCTTCTTCTGTATCCATTTTTTTAGGTGTCTTGTCCTCTGTCATTTTTGGCTTTTGTGAACGATCTGAATCTTTTTTTGTCTCAGTAGGAGAACTAACTGATTGTGATTGTTTTTTTGAAACATCTGCAGCCAGAGAAAGTTTTTCCAATTTTATTTCTATTTGAGTAATCCTTTCTGATAAAGTAGGTGACACTTGAGCCTTATTTTTTTCTTCTGTACCCATTTTTTCAGGTATCTGTTCCTCTGGCATTTTTGGCTTTTGTGAACGATCTGAATCTTTTTTTGTCTCAGTAGGAGAACTAACTGATTGTGATTGTTTTTTTGAAACATCTGCAGCCAGTGAAAGTTTTTCCAATTTAATTTCTATTTGAGTAATCCTTTCTAGTAAAGTAGGTGACACTTGAGCTTTATTTTTTTCTTCTGTATCCATTTTTTC